CAGTGAGGACGAGTGAGACTGAAGGAGGTTCAACCAGTTGTTCATGGACCAGAACCAGATGAGAAGAACAGCAGAATTTCCACTGACCATTGATCTGACCAGTGATCACATGTTGTTCTAAATTAAACTTTGGTACGAACAGTGTTACAATAAGACATGTCATATTTTTATTGAACAATAATCTTCATTCTAACAGTGACGTTGTAATTTCAGAGACTGAGGAAGAAACAGAAATGAGGCGAGTGAGATGAGGGACAGATGAAAATGTGTCCTCAGAGGACGGGGACATGTCAGGATCTGATGATCCAGGATCAACAGGGCCAGGATGGATCAACAGGACCAGGAGGATGGATCAACAGGACCAGGAGGATGGATCAACAGGACCAGGAGGATGGAGCAACAGGACCAGGAGGATGGATCAACAGGCAGTCAGGGAACAGAGATGAACAACCTGAGGAACAATTAGAACACAAAAACATACATAAGCAGGACAGAAGAAACTCACAGACAAGAAAATTAACTCAGTCCTGTGAAGAAAAATGTTAATGGAAAATAAATTGACATATTTTTACAAAAGATCAGATGAAGACAACTGGCATGAAGAATAACTTCCAGCTCCATCTCAATGTACCTGTGATAGTTTAATAAGTGTTTTGTTACTGTCCTACAGTTTATTGATGCTGATTTATTCTTGTAATAATTCTTATTTCTTGTTCTGTCTTGAAAGAGTCTCATCTCAACTTGACCCATGATTATCATACACTAAACTAATAATATAAAACTAATGTAAATGAACAGTCCTGCAATAAATACCAACTTTGTGAAGGTTATGGTGTTAAAGTAATTTTATTCAAACATCTTGATTCAGCTGTTATTGATTAATAGAAGACAGAAAATGAGATCTTGTACCTTTGTGATACTTTGAATGCAACATTCAGTTCATGAAGTCATTCTCCTCTGGTTTACCTTGAAAACATGAAAACATTGACTCATCTCCACAATCACGTTTTTCTTTAATGATAATGTCACAACTTATGCTGCAGTCTTTGACAAATGATCTATAACTTGAACTAAATTACATCAGTCTTGTTGTCATGTTGTCGTCATTCTTTGTTAAATCAGGTCTCTCTTGTAAATGAGTCCTCGAGGCTCAATGGGATTTACCTGTAGAAATAAAGGTTGAATGAATCTCTCAGGAAAAAAGACCAAATATTTTCTAGTTGAGTTCAGTAACTGGAATGACCATAAATTTAAAAAAGACCACCTTTCAAAATGTAAGCAGTAATAGATATTTTAAAAAGTTGAATTAGAAATAAACCTGTTAAACCGTCATGTTGCAGAGCAGCTGCAGTTAAAACACAACTAGTAATTTAACGTTTCATTAACTAAAACTGGCGACATGAAGTATTAATGTTGATAAATTGAGGTACAGAACAGTCAGATAAAGCTTCACAATGGCAAAAAAGTGTCGTATTTGCATCAACTTACCGGGAAAACATGGAGAATGAACTACGTTCAATGCTGAACCCGCTGCTGTTTGGAACTCTTTGCCGCTGCATGACCCACGTGACTTCCGCATTCCATTCTTTCTATGGGAGTCTATGGGAGTGTCGCAACTCTCTCTTTACAGGGCTCTGGTATAGGGTTATTAAAAGAAAACTACAAAATGGCGGCGCCTGGCCAAAGTTATTTAAAATTTTAACTTTTTATCTTGTACCGTCCCAATCACATGAGTAATATTAAAGTTAACAATTGTTGAAAAACCATGAAAGAGCGAGTCTGCGAAGTAGCGAGGGACGACTGTACATGGTTGTTTATAGATGCCTGTAAATATTTGTACATCTCAGCAGCAGCTAGCTGTAGCAGCCCGAGGCAGATCCAACAGGAATATAATTTTCATGTCAGAATAGCTTCAGTTTGTTGATGTTTTTTGTTTTTGAATACTGTAAGTATTTTGCTCCTTCGCCCCACATGAACAGACGATGGTATCAGATCGCAGCGTCGTGTGTAGCCATGTGAACATGGTGCCTCCTCTGTTGTTTTAACTTTGACCACTGGTCATTGCTGATAAGTCTGTCAGTCCTCCTTCACTGAACTCCTAGAAATGGGAGTATTTGTGTGGAGGTGGACAGATAAGTCCTAACAGTTTAGAGGGAAATGGTCGATGTCTGTGTTTGTTCATGTGTTCTCCTCCCTTTACAGATGTTTTTTGTTCTTTTCGGTTTCTAAACAGTCCATTTTATCGTCCAACTACTGACCCCGCTTCTCTTAGTCAGAGTTTCCTAATAGTATTCGACGAGCTCTTGATTTAGAGGTCAAAGTTTAGTTTTTCACCTTAGATTTAGACCGAAAAAAGAAGTTGGGACACTTAACTTGTTTATTTTTTTTATTACGGATTTGTCAAAAACAAGCATCCGTGTTTGCACTCAACACCATTTAATGAAATTGAAGCTAAACTCTACTAGATTTTATCTTTTTTTTTTTTTTAAAGATGCAATCCGTTTGTAAAAACACAACTCTGATTCTTTATTTAGCTTCTTTTGAGGTGTAAAAACATCTCATTAGGGGAGCTGTTTGAGCTCACAGAAGAGCTATACGTCATACTCACAGCTCTGTTTACAACTAAAATGAGCAGTCACTAGTGAGTAAACTTTAATCATTAATTTATCTAATAATACACAAAAAAACAAATGGTCTCCATTCATTTTTTCTGCCCATTTTAGTAAAATTTAGGAAATTGAGCATTAATTTTGTACATTATATTACAAATTGCAATAAAATTAAATATAAGAGGAAAAAATAAATAATTAAGTAGCATGCCTTGAAGGAATGCATGTAACCTGCTGCCTTTCCTGACAACGTTTTTAAGAAACATCCCACAATTTGTTAGTGCTCAAAATATATGATGGGAATTACTATCCGCTACTACCACACCAAATTTTAGCTCCAGAGCTGCTTAAACTCCTCCACTTTATTGGGTTTAAATTATGACATTTTGTGGCGCAGTTATTTTTTTATTCATACAGTCGTCCCTCGCTACTTCGCCGCTTGTTTTTCGCGGACTCGCTCTGTCTGTTGCGGTTTTTCAAAATGAGATTGGACATGACACACAATCGGCTGATTGATGGATGAGCCGCACGATCGGCATGGAATTTGTATTTAAAATAATTTATTTTCAATTATTTAGCACCTGCTGTACCTGCTTGCAGGAGAAGCTTCCTCCTGCGTCATGTCATACCTCTGCCCTGTAGTGGAGAAGTGGGCGTGGCCGAGAGCGGCAGGTGGCAGAGAGCCGAGATCATGACATGCTGAGCTCTTTTAGAGCATTTAGAGTTTAGAAACATTGTTCTGAATATTGCAAGTGTGAGGGGTTTAAATGCCTTAAAAAAAAAAAAAAAAATATATATATATATATATAT